CAATTTCCTCAAAGCTAATTAATATTAACTACAGTAGCCTGTTTTTTTTTTTTTTTTTTTTTAAAAAAGAGTACTAGAAAACAGGGGTCGAACCAAGTCATTGTATTGCAAGTCACAAGTCTTAAGTGTTTGCACTCAAATCCCAAGTCAAGTTTCAGGTCCTAAAGTTATCAAGCAGGATTATATTGTAACAACACATCATCAGTGGAGTAAGCCTAACCTGTCTCATCAGGGTCTAATCCCAGCTCATGTTCCCATATAAACAATCAAGTCAACAAATGTAATGCCATTTTAACAACAGAATACTAATGTTAGCAAAGCATTAGCTCGCTATGTTAATATTAGCTTTGACTTACTGTTCTTGGGGCAATCTCAAATGTCAAATGAAGCTGGAAGTTGTTGCATCCCTGTCTGTAATTTTCAACCCTCAGGTTTTGCATACTGCCATTTGTTTTTTGTTGACCACTGCCTATTTTTTGTTCACAAACAAAACAATATTCAGTATAAATCTTCAAACCAGTGCTCAGAAATGTAACATTAGTTCTTCATGTTTCTCTCCTGCAACTTCACTCGATGCTCTCAGACTGGTTCAAACAGTTTTTAGTTGATTCAGGAAATGGATTGATTCGTGGCACTCTTTTTAAATAACATACTTTTTAATCTTGGGCTTGGTGGAAAGTACCAAGTATTTTCAAGTCCAAGTGAAGTCATGAGTCATTGGTGTTAAAGTATAAAGTGCAAGTCCTTTTACATTTTGTCATGTCAAGTCTAAAGTCATTAGACTTATGAGCTGAGTCTGACATAAGTCCAGGTAATGTGACTAGAGTCCACACCTCTGCCACAAAATAAAAAATTCTCCTTATAATGCAGGGGTATGCATACAAAATATCCCAGTTAAAATTCTATCTAGTGAGCAGCTGTTTAGGCAAATTAGTTTGTTTCAAAGTTAAAATGTTTCCCACCATGATGGCCACAACTGTTGTAAAACAATAATTTCCCAGAATTGATCAAATAGTTCTGTAATAAACTTAAAAAATTGCATGTTCACAAACCCCCCAAAGTCCAGAAGCATAATCTGAAACATTACACACATGACACTTGTCCTAGATCCTTACATAGTTTGACTTTGCTCAGGTCCCAGCTAATGTACTTACACCCTCACTAGTCAAAGTCTGTGGTAGCATCCCACTATATTACCACACAACCTCTCGCTCCACCCTGACACAATCCTCCCCTCCTGCTTTCCGTCTCAGGAGCATCAAACAGAGCCACGGACCCCCTACCAGGCCGACCCCCACGCGGTCTGAGCCTGACCCGCTCCGAGGTGTGAACTTCAGTCCCCCAGCTGATAGAGCCTCCCGATCATTTTTATAGTCCCCATCCCTCGCTGTTTATGACTCTGCAGTTTGATTATAGCAAAGGGGGCTTGGAGAGAGAAGAGCCCAGAGAGGCACACACACACACATACATCAAAGGAGCTATGAGAGGAATGTGGACATTTGTTGTTTGTTTTATCATCCAGTACCAGCACTTATCTGCTTAATCATAAAGGATTGGCCTGGGAATGAGGCAGGAGGGATGCTGTGCTGGCCAAACAAACTATCCCCAGCACTGTGGTTGTTACTGGAGGGATGAGCCAGATTCATTTTGGTTGTAGCAGCTTACAAGGTACATGGGAGTTTTTTTTGGAAGAGAGAGCAGACGAACAGTTTACTTTAACAGTACAAGTCCAGGCAGAGGACAAGCTTTTGCTATTACGGTAAAGATGCACCTGAGTGATTCAGCTGCAGCTAGTCCACTATTAATGCACTTTTAACATTACAGTTAAGACCAGGGGAGTCCAAACTTTTTTGGACTAGATTAGATAATGTGAAAATACCTGGGGGCCACCTGCTTCTTACACCATATGGGTCATTAAAAAAAATCACATACAAAAAAGACCACTGATTCATCTCTTAGCGACAATACTTTCCAACACTCCTGAAGGCGGTGGCCCTCACTGTCAACTTCATGCTTCTATGCTGTGGTCATGACTACCACCTAGCAGGAAATGCTTGTCGTACGTTACTGTTCTGTTTGCATGCTTTGTTTATGAAAACACATTAGTTCCACCTGCATAGTTCCTACTTGGTGCATGTCTACAAACTGTATGACAGTCCTGCCATCATGAGGTGAGCAGAAAAATATGTAAAATGATCTTTCTTGATTCTTCTTGAACCACATAAACATAAATAAATGAATAAATTTAGCTCGTGGGCCACGATAGTCCCCTGAGCTGGACTTTGGACGTGCCTGGTTTAGACAATACGTTCCCTTTTTGTGTTGAATGGGCGTGGAACAAATTATCAGTAACATATGCTCTATTGCAAGACACTATACACTGTTAATAGTGTTATGAAACATTATCAATATACAGGCAGCAAGTACTATGGTTTCTATGTCTGATTAGGACAACAACTATTTATTTTCTTTGTAGATTAATCTGCAGATCATCTTTTTTTATTAATGAATTGATTGTATGGTTTATGAAATGTAAATAAAATGTAGCTCACAATTTCTCAGAGCCTCAGGTGATGTCTTCATGTTGCTTGTATGGTCAGAGCAAGAGTCCAAAACCCAAAGATAATTAATTTACAATGATATAAAAGCAGCAAATCCTCATATTTAAGAGGCTGAAACCAGATATGTATTCCATTTATCACAGACACATTATTTCAGGAACTGTTTAGTTGTCTGACACTTCAGCCTTTTGCTACCGTATCACCACGCAGAAGCAAGAGAGCATGTACTCATGGAGGAGAGGCTCATGCTTGGGACAGCACGAGATGTAAACATTAATGGCATCCCTCCTTTGCTCAGCTGTAACATTAGCTAGACGAGACAGCGGTGGAGGTACACTTCCTTCTGCAAAGTGACACAGTTGGCAGGTGTAGTTCAGTAGACAGAAAATAGTTCCTGCATGACACTGCTCACAACAAGGTCCGTGGATTATCTTAAGTAACCAGGTCATGATTTCTGGAAAGAGACATTGCAGTTGAGTTTTTCAAATATGGTGCTCTGAGCACCACAAGCCAAGTGCCATCTAGTTCTATTATATTCAAGAGAAGGCAGGCATCTCTACAGCTGATATCTCCAACACACAGCAGCTTACACAAAAGCAATCTAGACTGATGAATAGCACTACAGGTAAGAAGAATGATTTTAAATTGGGGATGAATTGTCCCTTTAAGGTCTGATTACGGTCAGAATACCTTCCCCGCCATCTGAGTCTTAACACTGATGCATCCCACACCAGCACCAAAGTGACTGAGCTGTAGATACAGTGTGTGAGATACACAACACTTTAATTAAGTCACAGGATCTCACCCCCCTCTCTTTTCTCTCTCTCTGGCCCTGAGAGTCAATCAGACTCTGCCCTTCGTTTCCCCCTGTGTGGGAGGCCGGTGTGCTGGCCTGAGTAGCTGGGAAAGTCCCATGATTTATGGCCCTTTGCAGGCCTGACTGCTCCTCACCTCGCTGATGATAGAGCCAGAGGTAACGAGGACCGGTTGCTCCAATCCACTCTTCTATTTGCTAAATCCAATTTTATTCATTTGGGATTTAAAGCCACTTGACAGCGTTTGCCATGCGATGCGCATACTATTGGTAGATAAAATTGGAAAGATTTATCAGAGTACTTCTATGTGTAATTGGGTATATTTCTTACAGGTTGGGTGATAATCACATGGATTAGATGTTAATGATTAAGCACTCCAAAGGGAGAGAGGGGGCATTTTATTCTCAGTCTCACATGGCAGACTTTCATTTCCTTATTCATTACTTTTTTTCTCCCCTCTTTTGATGTACGCTCCATAGAGCCTTGTAAAAGTGTTGGATGCATTTGCACGAGCAAATTGAAAGCAGCTTTAACTGAATAACGGTGGGTGCGAAAATGTGTTGTGGCTTAATATTTACCTTGTGACTCTTTGCCCTGGTCAAGTGTCCCAGACTGCTGTATCAACACAATTTAAATACACTCTGCTGCAGATAACACACGACCATAAGAGACCAAAGCATACTGAATCATTATGAGGTGCATTTTGAGGCTCTCCACACTTGTTTCAGTCTCCATCGCAGGATCAAGCAACTCTGACATATTAAAATCAACCAACCTTACATGCGTTAGAGGGACGCACACGAACACACTCACCAGCAGCAGCAGGGCAGTAACTCAAGGCCAAAGGAGGAGGTTTATTTTTATCATGGGCAAAGGCGCCAAATCATGTTGGTATGAAGGGGGCTATATAAATGCAAATTGTATTGGAGAGCTATTAGTCCTGGAAAAGGTTTGTATGTAAATGCCCTATAGGACCACAGCGGAGCACTCGGCCAGTTCAGATTAGTGGGGTTTGTGGCAAATGTGCTGCAAAAGACAAAATAGAAAAAAATACACAGAAAATGCAATTGCCTCGTGGTAAATCATGGTGAACAAGGTGAGTATTTGAGTAATTGAATGGCCAAGGTGTTTCTATATGGTTTATTGTGAGGTCTGTTTTCTGTGTGTATCTGCATGTGTTCATGTTTCATGGACATTTTGTTCATGGGACAGATTTTTCCTGTACCTGAGCATAAACAGTGTGACCATAAGCAGCTCTGTGAACGTGTGAAGAGGCAAAACGTCGAAGCATAACCAAATGAATTACTGCTGATTAGTACCGTCCTTGTCTGTGGCCTTATAATATTTCAAAACTAGACTTTGGGGTTGGCAATAGAGCGTACTGTATATTGACTAGAGAGAAGATCAGTGATTATGAAATGAGCAAATCAAACATGGCACAGGATGTCACATCATTCATGGAAAGTGGAGGATCTAATAATTGGGCATTGGGCTGAGAGACAACACTAACGCAAGGCCGCCCTCTAGCTTTAAGCAGCGAAAATTACAGGCATGCAACACCTATCAGTCATGAATCCACCACACAAAATATTTAATACATAATTTAGTTTTATTTAGACAGTCAGTGCCTACATCCCCTTGCAACAAAATTACCATATTACAAAAAAATTGTGCAGAACCAGCTGTTTGAATACAACACTCTAATATATACAATATATACATTTCAAGATATGCATTTACAGGGTCAAGAAGTTAGTATATGAACAACTTCTATTTAGTTTTATACTGCCAAGTATAAGATTGAAAAAATGTATAGTTGCATAAAATAAACAAATAATGCATTCTTGTCCTGGACAGAAAATGACTGCATAGGTTAAATGTAAAGTGCAAATGCAATTCTTCACAGATTTTGTGCCTCCCAACTTATTTCTTCCGAAGCGTTATATTTCTGCAGACCCAGGTCATGCCATCCTGGAAAGAAAAAAACAATGTGTTTGTGTTGTTTAAATTAGTAATATAAAATTGATACGAACCACAGCTTAAAAAGAGCAACATGACATCCTCTTTTGGCAGCCTACTGATGAGGAAAGAAAGAGGGCGACTGCATCCTGACCTGAATACACTCAGTGTCAGTGCCCTCTGATTTAAACTGACCCAAAAATCTGATAAGTAGTACGTATAGTCTGAGAGGGAGAAGTCTTACTCTTAGTTCAACACCCAGAGTCAGCTGAATACAACACAAATTAACTGCAGGGTTGCTGCTGGCTTGTCAGTTAAAATGCACACAGGCAAATCAGTAAATATTTGACAGGAAGAAGGCAGGAAGTTGGTTTTGAAGTAGCAATTTGTAGAATTTAGTGGCATCGCATGGTGAACATTGTAGATTGCAACCAGCTGAAATCTTTCCCATATATCAAACATAAGTTCACTGTTCAGGAGGTTTTTATCGAGAGCCGAATTTATCTGCAGAGGTCTCCTCCTTTCCAAAATAAATGGAAGTGATTAAAACAATCAAAAACACTGACTAAAGCAGCTTCATATTACAAATCAGTGTGTCTGCCACCGTGTTTGGCTTGTCACAGACAGGCTGTGAGGGCAGCACCTGCTAATTTGTGCTCACCTATTTGCTCTGACAAGTTAAGATCCAGACGTTAAGGAGGTTTTTACCAAGAGCTTAATCATCCACAGAGGTCTCTTCCTCTCCAAAACAAATGGACAAGGTGATTTTAAATGGGTAAAACACTGAATAAAGCAGCGTCACGTAAAAAAATGGTAGTGTTTTTCTGCTGCTAACTATGGTGGCCAATCAAAATGTAAGAATGCGAATGGCCCTGTGTAGAGCCACTGTTTGGTTTGTCCGTTCTGGGCAACTGTAGAAGGATGGTGGTACATTATGGCGGACTCCATGGACAAGGACCCGCTTTCTGTGTAAATATAACAGCTCATTCTAAGGTAACGAAAACAAGATTATTCTTATTTTCAGGTGATTATAGACTAAAGAAAATATACTACATATCCCACTAAATCCTACACACTGGATCTTTAACATCAGGCCTTTAATGTGGACAGTCTTCTGTATTGTATGTATAGTTTGAGTCGGTGTTGTTCTCAGTTCAAACCCAGAGTCAGCTGAATATAACAGAAATTGTAGCTGCTGTGCAGCAATGGTCGGGGCCGGGCAATTTTAGGCAAAATTTGGCAATTCTGAGCAACACACACACTAAAACAAAGCATATCACAACATAGAAGTTACATCATATAATTATGGCATGCCCTTCAAATTGTGGATGAGAGGCTGAAGTGATCAGACTCATACTATACAAAGGAAAAAAAAACTCAAGAACAAGAAAGTAAGAATAACATTAACTGCTAGCAATCATGAACAAACTGGCCTGATCTAGCTTAAAGCTAAACATTATCCATGGTGACAAAGAATGAAAACATTTTTTAAAATGTAAAAGTAGCTATTGGATAGACTCTGCATATTGACTGATAGCTAAGCCAAATAAACAGGGAAAAGAGACAAGGGATAACAGGGGAAAGAGTTGATAAAGAGTATTTGTCTCTCTCTGCAAAACTGCCTGGATCATAATTATTTTAACCCTGGTAGTCTCTAATCCACATAGCATGATGCCTGAACATAGGACTTTCACATTAGAATGTCCGTTCTGCCTTAGCAGAGGCTTGAACTCACAACTTCTGAGACTGAGGTCCATCTTCTATCTCACTGAGCTAACTGGCAAGTGACAGCTCATGTGTGGCTTCAAAAATTGACTAAGCCAAGCATCAGGGTGCCAGACAGTAGCCATCCATGCCATGGAAAAGCAAATTTCAAAGTGAAAGTTCCAAAGCTGTAGCACATATGGTTGATTTGTTATGAATTTTCAAAGTTTTGAAATTTAGAGGCTTGCTGTAGCGCCACCATCAGGACTATTGTCTTGGGTTTCCAGTTGAGGACATCTGGCATGGGACTGGACCTTTATGAAAAGTCTGGGTAGATTTCTCATATGGAAATGTTGCACGAGCTGAGGCTTGAACTCACAATCTTCAACACCAAGAACCATCCTCTATCTCACTGAGCTAATTGGCAAACAGAAATATCACATGTAGCTTCACAAACTGACTTAGCCTTGGACCAAGACGTTCATTGCATGAACGTCTTGAAAACGAACCCCGTTTTTCATGTGGGGGTTCCCGGTCTAGACCGATTCACGTCTCCATAAACTTTCAAATCAAACATGTAATGTACTCACCTCATAGGCACAGATGTCAGGAAGGTGTACGGGGGTTGCCGTGTGTTTGTATATCCGTTATTGTTCAATAAACATGCATTTTATCTCGGGATGTCTTGAAATTTTCTTCACCCATTCTTCGTCCTGCAATGAATGAGTGCACCGGCTTTCTACTGCGCCGCAAAAGCGGTTGGAAGGTGTATTGCACATTGGTAGTACACCTCCCAACCTTCCTAACATCTGTGCCTATGAGGTGAGTACATTACATGTTTGGTTTGAAAGTTTATGGAGACGTGAATCGGTCTAGACCGGGAACCCCCACACGAAACACGGGGTTCGTTTTCAATGAACGTCTTGGTCCAAGGCTAAAACTGACTAAGCCAGTCACCTGTGTGCAAGACAGCAGCTGTTAGTGTGTAAAGGCAGATTTCAAACGGCTGTCAAAAATTCAGTTATTAAGACAAAAATCCAAAAATACACAAATTGCATCTAGACAGCATGGAGATGTTGGTAATTTGTTTTTAACAATGATTTATTGGCTCCATAAGTGAAAAACTGATGTTTAAAAATGCCATTTTTGCATTGACTCCAATTGTTCGTATGAGAGCGAAATTCAAAATGCTGTAAAAAATTCAGTTTTTGAGATAAAATTCTGATATTTTCCAAACATCATCTACCATGACTCCAAAATTTTGTCATTTTTTTAATGAACATTGAAAATGTATTTAGTAAGAATCTGCAAGTATATGTTTACAATACCGTTTACAGTCAAACATTTTGATGCACTGTAGGCTCAATTTTCGATAAATCAAAAATCTGTGTGGATCGTTTGTGTAGGACAGTCTGAAGATGCTCTGTAGCAAGTTTGGTGTCAATTGAGCAAAAATTGTGGGAGGAGATAGGTTTAATAAGTTTAACAGTTTTTGAAAAAAACAGAGTGATGGACTTCATAATTTGCAATAGGTTTAAATGTACAAAAGTTTCTTCAGTATTGGGGCTACATTTTGGTGAAATATGCACATCTGTAGCACATATGGTTGATTTGTTGTGAATTTTCAAAATTTTGAACTTTAGAGGCTTGCTGTAGCTCCACCATCAGGACTATTGGCCTGTTTTTGCAGCTGAGGCAATCTGGCATGGGACTGGACCTTTGTGCAAAGTTTGGTGATTTTTCGCGCATGGGAAGTATGATTTCCTCGGAAGAAGAAGAAGAAGAACTTGCAGCAAAGCAATAGGGTCCTGGCAGCTTAGGCTGCCCGGCCCCTAATTAACAGTGGGGTTGCTGCTGGCTTGTCAGTTAACATGTACTCAGGTAAATCTGTATATATTTGCCAGGAAGCAATCAGTTAGTTGGTTTTAACCAGTCTGTTTATTAGCTGACTATTTGTTGACACTTTTAAATTTATCACACTCACAAACTGCACATGATAAATAGAGATCACGTGTTCACTTGGTCTATCTGATATAAAGGAGCCTTTGTTAGTGTTGGTAAAACAAACCCCTTTCTCAATTTCAGGGGATGTCTCAATGTAAATAAGAGTAAATTAATCAATGTCAATATTCTGTGAGTTCTCAAACTGACTGCAAATACGGTTGGTGTCATTCTGCAGCCAACCCTGTTTCAGCCCTTGCGTGTTACAGACTGTGCGTACTGTATTTACCTGCACTCCCTCAGCAGTGACTGCTGAGCAGGCCTGGACCTGCCACATGCGATCTCGGATAGTGTGCAGATTGAGACCTTCTGCCAGCTCAGACGCCGGGGTGGCTGTCATCAGGTCCTGCTTGTTGGCAAAGATTAGCAGTGGCACAGCAGCGAGCTTTTCCTCCTCAAGTAACTCAGCCAGCTCCTGCAAGAACACACACACACAGACACACACACACACACACACAGACACACAAAGGTAACAAGAGACACGTGTGCACTGGCTGAGTCAGAAAACTAAATAGTATTGACTTTTTGGCTTTATTTACACCCAACAACATCAGAAAACATGGTTAACATTAGAAATATTTGGACTGTAACTGACATCAGGGTGTCTACAGGTGTCAGACACTTAAATGTAATGCTTTTTAAGTCCGTTTTAAGATGATTTTTAACCAGATTTAAGACTTATTTTTGGACAAATTATCTTTTTCTTATTTAAGTAATGCAGGTAAGCATGAAGGTAAGTGGTATACATGTGCTCCCATGCAGAGGTAGTTATTATGTAGTTATTAGAATGAGTTAGGTTAATCTACATTTTGCCAACAGGTAAGTGCAAGTATAAAGTAAAAAGGCAGGATCAGGTTCAGTGTTAGGTTTAAGATTTATATATCAGAAATGTGGACTTTCACATAGAAGAGCTTGACTCAACTGACAAAGAGACACTTTGTAAGGACCTACAGACACCCTGGATAAGCTTTCAGTAGCTGTGTGTGACCAGTAATCACACTACAAACATCTCATTATTTAAAGAAACTTTATCTCACCAGGCTTGTCTCTTCAAACCTCTTCCTGTCTGAGCTGTCAATCACATAGATCTGCAAACAACACAGTCAGATATTACCATAACAGTTCATAACATGTATGAAATACTGTGTCGTGAGAACTTACATCTGTGGATGTTGAATTTGCTTAATTCTGACTATTTTAACAATCAGGTTAGGCACATTAAGGAAAACCTACCAGTACATCTGTGTTCTCAAAATAATTCCTCCAGTAGGGGCGAATCTTGCGCTGACCTCCTATGTCCCAAACATTCAGCTTAAAGCCAGATGATTGAACGCTCTTTATATTGAAGCCCTGTTGAAAGACAAAAAAGTATGACTGGAAAATAAGGAAATGCATTTTTGTGAGGAACTGTCTGTGATCTGTGATCAGATAACATCTGCAGTGTGACTCAGCTGCTGGATTTGTGCGAGTGTGTGCACATTTGTACTTGTGTGGGGGTGATGTGGCTGATATCTTCTGCTGCCAGCTGTTTCAGCAGAGTGGTCTTGCCAGCATTGTCCAAGCCAAGCAACAGCAAGCGCACCTCCTGTTCTGGAGACTGCTTCAGCCTCCGAAGAATGGCCAACAGGCCCTGCGGATGGATCAGAGCACATGGTTGAGGTGATGAGCCTCAATGGGATAGCAGGTTCCACGATGACACATCATAGGGAAACCTAAGTTGTATCAGGTCATCAGAGGCAACTATGGCGTCACTGGTTGGCAGAGACACCCAACGCAGCGTGTACAGGAGGTTTAACACTCAACTCACAGCAATAACCATCTAGAGTGCAAGGACTTAGCTGTTAGCTGTTTGCAGTGACCTACATGTGTATTGGGGCCAAAAGCTCTCATTGGCCAAGATTAGACCATGTGCACAGTGACTGGCTTGTGTCCAGAAGGTGGTCAGGAAGGCTTTGGCTCAAGCCATTTACCTTGCAGTTTGCTATGTTAAGATGAAAATGCTGCCGTTGCACTCCGTGACCTGAAACATGTGCACAGTGTCAAATATAGACACATCTGTTATTCAGGCCATTTTCTCCTTGGATAGAAAAACTGATACATAAAGTAATCAGTTCAGCACACCATTAAAGCTGTCTTAAAACTTGCTTGTTTTCTTTGGCTTTTCCTTGATTTTCTACATTTATAATTTGTGGCTCCTGTGTCTTCTTGTTTCCATATATTGTTTTCTCTGTCTTGAATGAATGAAAAATAAAAACAAAACATCAACAGACATGCTCAGTAAGGAGTAGGAAGAAGAATACGCTTATATAATCCTATTCATGTCTCATTGAAAAACAAAATGGTCAACAACTATCCCAAACTTATTTAGAACCATAAATATAGATACATAAACAACAGTTTTAGATATTAAATATACAAACCCCATCCTATCCAAGCCTAAATAAACAGATAAATGTCTCCTTTTATTTCTCTTTTCTTTCCCCCGTAAAGGACTCTATAACTTGAAAAATGCAATGCAAATAAAATATGCTTGCTTACCCGCGCTAAAAGGAAGTGTGAATGATACCCAAACGAGAATAAAACATTGTTTAAACTAAAACTATTACTGTTTGCCACACCATACATTTGAGCATTAATAAAATGCATAAATATGCTTTAGTGACAACCCATATTATTAGTATTGAGCTATTGTTGTTATTTTTGACAGTGACAACTTCCTAAAAACTAATGCAGTATGTTATCTATGCTAACTAGCTATAGGGAAGTTAGACTACCCTATTCACTAGCATGTAGGTAATGTTAGCCAGCCCTAGCTAACATTTTTAAGTAACATAACACGTCATAAATCACTATTATTTAATTAAAACATAAATTAAATTGTTCATGTTCTAATTCCAAAGGAGCCGCTGTTGTAAATAGTTATGACTCACCATGTTTTCCTTAGGTGTTGGTGTTGCAATATCTCTGCTCAGACTGAGTGGATTAACATCTTTCTAACTTCCTGGGAGAACTGCTGCTAACTTCTGTTGCCAGGGAGACCGTGACGTCAGCGTAAACAACGTCACTGCTGGGCATCTCTCGGCACGAGACCGAAAAAAATAATATAATTAAAATAAACATGTAGTAGTAAAAGCGGGTAAAAGTGCTGGAAATGCGGCATAATATGACCCTAAAATATGACTTCTTCATGAATAGAGACAACATAAGGAACAGTTGTATTTTACACTTATTATTTGATATAAATATCTACTACTGAATTTTCTTGTGCGTTAAATAAACTTTATTATTATTTATTATTATGAAAAATACGACGGTAAGATTCTTTTAACTTTATTTCATAGGCAAGTTGTTCCAAATTTAATTGCCAAAATCTGTTAAAAAACTACACTGACCTCATTTTTTATGTTAAAGTGACCTATTAATTAACATTTTTATTTATTTATTAATTTATTATTCAGTTCAAACATAAGGTTTATTTAGATTTAATAAAGCTCTATTTGAGAAAGATATAAAATTCTGAATGCTGATAGTTGATGCAACGAGCGAGAGATTACATTACAATGTGATTTTCTAACAGTTAATGAAATTATTTAATATGAAAATAATTTTGAGCAATAAGCTTTTTTATGTTTTTGGGAAACAGACTCCTGCATTGAACTTGAATGCTGTTATGACGCATGTCTTCACCTATCTACGTATGTGACCCAGAGCAGATAACATGGAAACAAGACCTCTGCATTTAGGTACGATAATGCACCTCTCATTTGCAATTCGCCATTTCAGGAAGAAAGGGAAGAATAAAATTAAGTTTAACTTGCACCAGAGACAGTTAACAAAGTTAACTGTTATCATACATTCATAATAATATAGTTATGATAAAAATATATAGTTGTTACAGACTACATCATTGCCTGCATTGTGCGCGTCCATGTTCTCATACACGCATACACAGCGCTCTCTAGAGTTCAATCGCAGACTCCGTTTCATGTTACTACTAGTGGTGTTTGTTTCTGAGTCCAGGAACAACAAAAACATGTCCGAGTGCGACAGACCGAACCGTTAACCAGAGACCGCTACCTGAAGTCACCTCAACACGTCGCCGATTCGACCGACTGCTATATGATTCCTGTCGTGTTTACGGCCGACAACCCAGAAAGATGCCGCAGAAAGCACTGGGATCCATTGTAGGTCTTCTTTGTACCGGGACCTGTCTAGTGCAGGTAAGCCCCGCGCTAGCGCTCACGGGGTCGGCTGAGGCTTCCAGGCGAGGCCGCTGCTCCTGGGGTGGGTGAAGGCCTTCTGCCGATCCTTTTTGTCTCCTCCACAAAGGAAACTGGGCACGGTTTGCTGCTGAATGACGTCAGTTAGTCAAAGTTTGACTGTATTTTTCGACATTCAACTCGCTATAAGATTTATTATAACTCTAAAATATATACGGCTGTGTCTAATTATCACAATTTTACATCTTGAACCAAGGGTATCAAGATTAACGTTAGCCGTTGCTAACTGGTGCCCGGCAAATTGATGTGTTTATTCATCACGTTAATTGTTAATATCAGCTAGCTGGACAGGGCGGTCAGTTCCAGTTTGTCCAGTTTGCTTCCCTGACAGAGTCGCTATTTAATTTTAGTCAAAAAAATAAGCTTGTGACGAACGGACTCTCACAATGGTAACGTAAGCAGTTTAGCATTTTATCTGCATATTTGTTGACGTCTTGACCTCGTTTAGCAGTCTAACGTCATTGTGTTATTGCTACATGTTGCTTTCCAATCCCATTTAAATTCACTTTCAGTTCTGCTGTAGTGATTAGTAAATGTACTGTACCATTGGCAACATTCAGCAGTGAGTGTTGAATTATAATATGAATTTAAATCTGAGTGTATTTTGCCTGTGTAAGTAGCTGTCACATTACAGAGAATTAGCACAGAAATGCACAATAATTGACACTGAGGTGAGGACAGTGTGTCAGGACTTTGCTATGCCGTGTCTTGTTGACTTGTGTGATTGAGTATTTGCTTTCACTTTGTGTATCTTTTGTGTGTGTTTAAGGGAAAGGAGTTCTGTTTCGGGGTAAATAATGAACAGTACCGCTGTGAGATGGGATACTGTTGTGGAGAGACAGAGTGCTGCACCTACTACTATGAGCTCTGGTGTAAGTTCCTATTGATTTTTTTTTTTTTTTCTTTTCCAAATTCTTATTCACATTAATACCACAATGCTTTATTATATCCCACCCCTAGTGTCCATTTAATTCCCTATTTTCAAGATTTAAGTCTCAAGATTTGTTATAAAGTGTGTTTTTCCGTCATCAAATTAGTTTTATTTCACTATTTATTATTATTCAGAGCCCATAATACTCATGGACTTCACCACCTTTGCCTTGCTTAGTTCTTCAGTTTCCTGTACATGATGATAATATTACAGTAACTCTGTCCCCCTTCATAGGGTTCTGGTTGGTATGGACCCTCATTATCATGCTTAGCTGCTGCTGTGCCTACCGACACCGGAGGGTTAAGATGCGTCTCCAGCAGGAGCAACGCCAACGAGAGATCAGCCTTATGGCCTACCAGGGAGCCTCCAGCTCCTTCATTTCCCCTCCACCGCTTAATCTAAGTGAGTATTTTGTATGTGCTTTTCAGAGTTTGGGTTAGTTTTACCAGGAGATCAAGAGGGCACTCTCAGATGTTGAATACAGACTACAAACAGGGTAGGGTGGTGTAAACACAGAAGCCCAGGCAATCTATTGTACAACAACTTTGTCCAGCACATCCTCATGTGCTTATGGACTGGCTGGGAGGTGCAGTTTCTGCTGCGTCTGCCCTGAGGTCTCCCCTGATTCAGCGCAGAGCTGCAGCTCTATATGTTTTAGATCATTTTTCAGCTCTACCTGTTAGACAAATTGAACCCAGCCACCCTACAGGCTTCATGCTATGCTCAGTATCTATTCTAAACTTTGCTCTCTCCACCACCAAAGTACGATAAAACGTCCGCATCACAGCAGTGTATCTCGCAACCTTTGTCACTCAGATCCACAAGACACCTGAACTCTCCTTGAAGCAGCTGTTCTGTCCTCTTCCTGAATGAAACTACCTCCTTTTGCTGAGAGAGAGGGAGTCATAATTGGAAGTGCTGACCCTCATCTCAGTCTTGTCATACTCGGCTGCAAATTGCCCAGAGTGTGTACTGGAGATCATAGTCTCATGTTGTCAGACGGGCACCAGAGAGCAGAGATGCCGCCCTAATGTCAGTGGTCACTCTGGACATCAGCTGAAAGTTGATATCGTGTCCCCTAATATCACAAACAGGAATGCAAGGTGTACACTTGTCAAGAGTCCGAGGCCCACAGTGAACATTCTTGACTTAATGTCAAGAATGTGAACACAGCTCTTGCTTTGAGCATACACAGACAGTGACTCACACAAAGATCCTGGTAACATACATTCTTGCAGCACTGTCCACTCAGGACATCATGGAGAATGTAGTTATAAACATTTTCCAGATATTCAGGGTATGTTCTAGCTTTTTTCTCAGACAAGCCTTCCAACATTACAGCTTAAACTGTAACCTGTATACAGTAACACATTATATATCTTTAAATGTATCCTCATGTATTTGCATTTGCACATGGATGTACAACTTCTTTTATAGGGACGATGGTTTGAAAGCTAAAGCTGTTTAAATTTGCTGACTCTCAGGGTTCTGGAATGACTGCAAGCTTCCTGACTATGAAGAGGTGGTAGGTCACCCCCCCACACCACCTCCTCCTTACTCTGAAAACCCCCCTGAGACGACTCCAGCAGTCCTTCCACAAGCGAGCCAGCCAGACGCCATGGTGCCACAACCCCCGCCTGTGGCAGACCCGAGGGCAGACAGTCAGGCAGCAGGCTCATCATCAGACCCGGAAGCAGCGTCAATGTCGACCCAAGCACAATGTCTGGCCGAGGAGAATGCAGAGCCTTCGCTCGTTGCGGCAGCGGCGGCAGAGGGGGAGGATGAGGAGCTCATCACCCGACGTCGCCATGTCACCGGCGACTCAGGGATTGAGGTGTGCGTTTGCCAGATGGATTTAGATGAGGGCTCGGGGCTCGAGGAGGAAAGCGACGAGGAGCACCGGATGTGTAAGGTCACTGGTCAGGACTGCTGCTCCGGGCACCAACAGCCGACCTTCACACAGAAGGAGCACACCTCCGAGCTGCCCAGTCAGACCGCCAGCACCAGCACTGGAGACCACATGGTTTGATCCACAGCATAACTAACAGCCAACCAGTGCATCTTTCCGCTTCGCGCAGGGTGATACAAGATATCTGTTGCCATCATCATCACCACAGAGACTGTTTGTGTTTTAATTCTCTGAACTAACACACAGGCATGACATTAAGATGATGATGATAACTAATCCCTAATGGCTTCTGATTAGGAAAGATGAATAACACATTGTGTGGACAAACTCCTGGCTTTTTTTATTTTATTTTTTGGCTTTGCTTTTCTTTAGTGGGGAAACCAGCAAACACGTGCTCCATTTTGTATGTTTTTTTTTCCTTAGTGAATGGGAGAACATCATTGGGTAGTGAGAAGGCAGCAATTGATTGTGACTGAAACCAGACTGTTTCCCTCTCTCCTATCCTCTCCTCAAGCACTGCCATCATGTTTCCGTTTCTGTCGCTCCACGCTCCTTGATCAGAATTGTCTGGCTGTCCTTCCATCTGACATTTTACCTCTGGTGGGATGGCCAGCTAGGAGCATACCAACCAATCATTAACATGTATCCCCAATCCCCACCATGACTCAGAGGCAAAGGAGTCAGAAACAAACCTCCTGTAAACTTCGGATGATACTGGATGAACTGACAGGAGCACACATTTCGTTTTTCCCCCACAAAGCTGTGTGTATGTGAGAGTTTGTGTGTGTGCTGTGAAATCTAGGGCACAGCTGCATGATGATGTCAGCTCTGAGGTCATGGCAACCAGCGTCTGGTGTGAAGTCTGTTGCATACAGAGTGGG